TCATTTGGAAAGCTTCCTGTGAAGGAGCTTCCGGAACCTCCCAAGTTGTCTGTTCCATTGTCCTGTTATTACAGTTAGGAAGTTCTTTCCTGAGAGTTCATCTAAATCTGCTGTGCTGTAGTTTGACCCCACTGACTCTTTGTGACGGACCAGGGAGTGGGGCAGATTGACCTGGGGATGTTGCAGGGTAGTTTTACTGGGACTGCCTGCATTGGGGATGGGAGAGCAGGGGGTGACTTCACTTGGGGGGGGGGGGGATGATACCTGAGCATGTAACTTGAGCCAGGAGGGGGTTGGGGCCAAGTGACACCTTTTGCCAGGGGAAACTGGACAAAGGCTGGGGGAGGAGCCGGGGGGAGGCTGGGAGAGACTGCTGGAGGGAGTTTCAGTTTTGGAGTTGGCTGGGGAAATGGAGGGAACCCCCCATGACTGGGGTCTAAGCTCCCTGCCCCCCCAGAAGGACTTTATTGAGGGGTCCTGGTTGTACCTACAAGCTCTGATTTGGACTGTGTTCCTGTCGTCTAATAAACCTTCCATTTTACTGGCTGGCTGAGAGTCCCGTTGAGTGGCAGGAAGTGAGGGTGCAAGGCCCTGACTCCCCCACACTCTGTGACACTCTTGTCCTGCCCTCTGTGCCAAGAGAGAACAACATTCTTCCACCTTTTTTATGGCAGCCTTTGAAGGATTTGAAGTCCATGATCATGTCCCACTAATCTCCTCTTTCCAAACTGAACACAGTCAGTGCCTTCAGCTTTCACATATGGCTGCCACCATCCCTCGTAACATATTTTTAATTTGCATCTGGATCCATTCCAATTTCCCTACATCCTTCCATACAAAATTTAACACAGTACTTCAACTGAGGCCTAACCATCGCCGAGTAGAGAGGTACTATCATATATTGTGACCTCCATGCTATGCCTCCAATAACACAACGTGACATTACATTTGCTTTTTTTAGAGACAGCAAATAAGAAAACCCACCCCCCTGATAGATGTAGCTAATTCAACTTAACCCCGGTGTAGATGGTATGAGATCCACAAATGAATTCTTCAGCTGACCTAGCTACCACCTCTCGGGGAAGTGGATTCCCCACGCTGATGGGAGAACCCCTGCCATCAGTGGAAGTAGTGTCTATGCTGAAGCGCTATGGCAGTGCTGCTGTGGCGTTTTGAGTGTAGACAAGCCCTCAAGCAGATCTTCAAAAAAAGCATCCAGTCTGGGTCTGCAGATATGGGGAGTTGGAGAATCCACCACTTCCCTTCACAGTTTGTTCCAACGATTAATCACCCTCAGTGCTAAACATTTGGCCCTTATTTGCTACTGGAATATGTCTGGCTTCAGCTTCCAGCCATTGGGCCTTGCTCTGCCTTTCTCCGCTAGATTACAGAGCCCGTTATTGCTATTTAAGATAAATAAACAAAGTTCTTTAAATCTCTGTCTCTGTCCAGCATTTTCTGCAGCCTCCAATTATTTTTGTGGCTCTTTTCTCCACCAGCTCAAATTTTTCAACATCTCTTTTGAAATGTAGAACCCAGAACTGGACACAGTCAGTTTCACCAATGCCACATGCAGAGGTAATTTCTTTGCCTGCTTCAACTCACCACTCCTGTGTTTATGCATCCACGGCAGGGCCGTCCTTAGGCATACGTGGGGCCCTAGACAGCTGCATGCTGCGTCTGTGGCGCTGGCTCCAGCAGCCCACCCCATCCCCCCAGCCAGCCCCCCCGCTCCGCCCCTGCCCTGCCCTGCCCCCATTTGACCCCTTCCCCCCCAGCCCCTGCCATGGCTCTGTCCCGCCCCCATATCTTTCCACCCCTGCTCCGCCCCCACCCCACCCCCATTCCACCCCTTCCCCCACGCCCTCTCCCCCGAGTGACATGGCTCGTGGGATTAGCGGAGGTACTGGAGCTGACAGAAGGGGTCGCGCCTGCCCCTGCACTCACCAGCTCGCAGCCGCATTGCTCCGCTTCCCGCCGCTGGTGAGTGCAGGGGTGGGCCTGACCCCTTCCTCCAAGCAACAGGGTTGGGAGCTGTGGGAGTGGAGCGGGCTGGGGTCAGGTCACTCTGCTTCCCGCTGCCACCTGTGAGTGCGGGGGGGGGGGCAGATCCAACTCCTGCTCCCGGCGCCAGGCCCCCTGCTAATCCCCTGCGGCCCTGATCCAAGGATCACATCAGCACTTTTGGCCACAGCATCTCACTGGGAGCTCATGATGAGGTGATTGTCCACAGTGTTGCCCTAAATCCAATTCGGGGTCCCTGCGTTCCGTAATACAGTGCCCTAGTCTGTGGGTCGGGCCTGCATTGCCTGTTCCGAGAGGATCACTTTTCATGTGACTGTATAAAAACATTTTGTTTGCACAGACCCAGCTCACCAAATGCTCCAGATCAATTGGTGTACCTGTGCTGGATGCCTCATTGTAACCACGCTGCCAATCTTTGGGTCATCCACAAATTTTATCTGCAGTGATTTTCTATTTCCTTCCAGATCCTTGATGAAAATGTTGAAAAGCATCAGGCCTAGAACTGATTCCTGCAGAACCCCACTAGAAACACCCCCATTCACTGATAATGACCATTGACAACGGCTTTCTGAGATCTGCCAGTTTTTAGTCCATTTTACATGTGCTCCACGGGTATTGTACAGTGTTTTTTTATCTGAATGTTTTCCCCTACTAAATCAAATGTCTCAGAGAAATTGAAGTCTATTGCATCTGTAAAGTTCCCAGGGCTGGCTCCAGGGTTTTTGCCGCCCCAAGCGGCACAAAAAAAAAAAGCCGTGATCGCGATCTGCGGTGGCAATTCGACGGAAGGTCCTTCGCTCCAAGCGGGAGTGAGGGATTGTCCACCGAATTGCCGCCGAATACCTGGATGTGCCGCCCCTCTCCAGAATGGCCGCCCCAAACACCTGCTTGGCAAGCTGGTGCCTGGAGCCGGCCCTGACAGTTCCCTTGATCAACCAAATGTGTACAGTCATTAAAGGATGAAATTGGGATATATGGCAAGATCTGTTTTCCATAAACCATGTTGTTGACTGGCATTAATTATATTCCTAGAGGTTTTTTTTTTTTGAACTAATCCCATACCAGTTTTTCCATTGTTTCTTAACGTTGTTAAGGTTGATCGGTCAGTTCGTAACTCTGATGTTCGTAACTCTGAGGTTCTCCTGTTGATACTGTTTAACATCCTCCTTGACTTCTAATGGACTGGAAAGTATTTCAACACTTCCTGTGATATCAGTACCTCATACTGCTTCTTTCCGAATGCAGAAAAAAATGATTTCTTGAACACACTACTTTTTTTGAAACATTCTGAAGCTTCCTTTCTCCCTGTCAGAATTGGCCTACATCTTTTCTATGATTTCTTTTATATTAATATACTTAATAAGATACTTCTTATTTAGATCCTTAGCCCTGCCAAGCATGGATTTTTCCCTGATGCTTTTAACATCCCTCATCAATTTTCATAGCTTCCAGTTTGTATTATTTGCTTTCTATTTTCCCTTTTTCCCATTTGTTTGATATTGTTTTTCACCTCTAATTGCTGCCTCCACTTTGCCAATGAACCAGCATTTTCTCCAAAGTTGTCCACTTTCTTGACTGTGGATTTGTGGTTTTAAGCTATCTAATAATCTCTTCTTAAAGAATTCCCACATTCCATTCCCATTTTTCTGTCTAATTCTTTCCTCCGAATCAGTTAAGATGATAATTTTGCTCAACTTTGGGGAATTAGCTCTTTGAAGAACAAAGTATCTATAGACATTACTGGTTGGGAACTGTTCTCTATCCATTTCAATATAATTAGTTCCATTCTTTATTTTGCTCTCCTATGTCATACGCTCACTCTGTCTCTTCTCTAAATGAAACAGTCCCAGAGTTTTCAGTCTGTTTGCATATGGCAACCTTCCCCATTCTCGAAGCCTGTCTCAGAAATCCCCGTTCTATCTGCTGTATCCTTTAGAGAGACTGGGTGACCAAAACTGAGCGAATGTCCATCCCATTCATTAGATATCTGAACACTGTTTTTCTTTTGGCCACAACTGCCAATGAGCAGGTGTTTCTCTGGAGCTGCTATCAGTAGACAGCCACATCTTTTCACTGAGGTGTATTCTAGTTGGGATGTTCCACCCATCAAAGATTTGCTTTTTTTCCAGGCTCAGATTTTGAGCCACCAGGTGAATGGGGAATTCCCTACAGCATGGACTCTCTAGCCTGGCATTCATTGCATTAAGCAGCAACGAGGGATAACCAGTATCCACATGCGTGTTTCCTCCTAGTGCTTTACCACACTACGACATGTAGGAATTACAGACACATGCCATCAAATATGGAATTGGCATTATTAGGGTCAGTTGTTTATAATTCATTTCTCTGAATAATGAAAATGTCAATTCTTAGTGTGTGAAGAGAAACCAAGCTGCTTCACCCATGAGAACAGCTCCCAGTAGTGCATGTGGTGTCTCATATTAACATTGTCTCTCTACCCAGGCATTTGTACGGCAACCATCTCCCTAGACCCTGGGGACATACGGAAAGTCAGCATATGGCAGCCTCCCCCATTCGCATAGCCTGTCTTAGAAATCCCCTTTCTGTCTGCTATATCCTTAATAGAGACTGGATGACCAAAACGGAGCACATATCCAGAGCAGGGTATTCTCCATCGGATTCCTTCAGGCATCCGAACACTGTCTTCGGCCACTGCTGTGAATGAGCAGGTGTTTCTGTGGAGCTGCTATTAATGATGCCCAGGTCCTTTCCCTGAGGTGTGTTCTAGTTGTGTTGTTTGCCCCGGCATGTCTTTGAAAATGTTTTTTTCCCCACTCTCAGATCTCCCTAAGCATGTGCATGCAGTTTCTCATATTAACTTTGTCTCTCCATCCAGGCATTTGTCCTGCGACGAACACCCTAGACTCTGGGCACTTACAGGAAGTCAGGGGAACATACAGTATATTCAGGAGACACCGTTCTGCCTCAGAGTTGGACACCTTCTCCCATACTCCATGTCAGATTCCAACACAACTGACTTCACCAACCCCTCCACCTTCATCCTGCTGGGCATTCCTGGCCTGGAGACGGCCCATGTCTGGATCTCCATCCCCTTCTGCACCATGTATGCCATAGCTGTCTTGGGGAACTTCACCATCCTTTTCATTGTGAAGATGGAGCCGAGTCTCCATGGGCCCATGTACTATTTCCTCTGCATGCTGGCTGTCTCCGACCTGGTCATGTCTATGTCCATCGTTCCCAAAATGCTGAGCATCTTCTGGTTCAATTCCAGGGATATAGATTTCAGTGCCTGCTTAACCCAGATGTACTTCATTCACTGCTTCTTAGTGATGGAGTCTGGGATGTTCGTGGCAATGGCTTTGGATCGGTACGTAGCCATCTGCCATCCCCTGAGACATTCCACCATCCTCACAAACCCTGTGGTGGCCAAGATTGGCCTGGCTGTGGTGCTGCGTAGTGGCTTGCTTGCATTGCCCTTGCCC